ACAATTCATTTTTAAGTGTACGAGTCCATGGTTTTTAGTATATTCACAGAATCCATTACCACAATCAGTTTTAGAACATTTTCATTATCCCAAAAGAAAGCCGGCAACCATTGGTCACCATTCCTCCAGACATTTTCCAAAGCAACCACACCATTTTATATTCTCTTTATATTTATATTCTCTCTATATTTTATATTCTCACCAGTTGTGTGTGAGGGTTCTAATTTATTCACATTCTTTTTTTTTTTTTTTTTGAGAAAGCACACGCACGTGAACGGAGTGGGGGTAGGGGGTAGAGGGGCAGGGAGAGAATCTTAAGTGGGTTTGATGCTCAGGGCAGAGCCTACGCAGGGCTCCATCTCTTGACCCTGAGATCATGACCTGAGCAGAAGTCAAGAATTGACTAAGCCACCCAGGGTCCCCTCTTCACATCCTTCTTAACACTTGTTACAATCTAACTTTTCTATTGTAGCCATTCCAGTCAGGGTGAGTGATATTGCTCTGTGGTTTTGATTTGTATTTTCCTGATGGCTAATGATGCTGAGGACCTTGTCATGTGCTTAATAGCAATTTGTATATCTTCTTTAAAGAAACGCTATTAAGGATACTTTGTCCGTTTTTAATTGGGTTGTTTAACTTTTTATTATTAGGTTGTAATATATCTTTATATATGCTGGACACAAGTCCCTCATCAGAAAAATAATTTGCAAGAATTTTGCCCCATAATGTCTTTGGGTTGTCTTTGACTCTCTTGACAGTGTTCTTTGAAGCACAAAAGTTTTTAATTTTAATGAAGTCCATTTACCTACTTTTCGTTTTGTTGCTTGTGGCATATATAAATATAAATACATCTAAAGCACACTAATGTGCTTTCTTACAGTACATTTTACTTATTTTTTAAAGATTTTATTTATTTATTTGAGAGAGAGAGAATGAAGAGAGAGAGAGAGAGCAAGAGGGGGGAGGGTCAGAGGGAGAAGCAGACTCCCTGCTAAGCAGGGAGCCCGATGATCCCAGGACTCCAGGATCATGACCTGAGCCAAAGGCAGTCGCTTAACCAACTGAGCCACCCAGGCGCCCCACTTACAGTACATTTTAAAAGATGGAATAAACTATAAGAGAAAAAAGTGACTACTTTTTGAAGGAAGAGATGAAATTAAACCTTGTTTTGCATATTTGACTTTGGGGCCACATAAATACTTTATATAATTATAGGAAAAAATTAAATTCTAAAAGAGCAATCTCTAAAAATTAAAACAAATCTTTGATTCCAATTTGTGGCACAACACCTCAAGAGGAACTACTCCAAATGACTCTAGCATACAGTAATTTGATTCCATATCCCCAGTGGAATATACCTTGAAGAACAAGAAGATTATAATAAACAAAGAAACAAACAAAAACAGAAAACTGTTTTCAGTAATCAAATCACTATTATTATTTTGAGTGTTCTTTATCAAGTATGGAAGATTCATAGTATTTATTGCATATTTTATAAAGTGTGGAATAAAGAACTGTCCTTTTTCTGTTCCATGATCTCATCCGGAATACATTACATTAACTCTCATATCTCTAGGCTCCTTGGGGTTGTGACATTTATTTTTTAATCTTTTAGAAATTTTTTTTTTTAAAGATTTTATTTATTTATTTGAGAGACAGAGAATGAGAGAGAAAGAAAGCACATGAGATGGGGGGAGGGTCAGAGGGAGAAGCAGACTCCCTGCCGAGCAGGGAGCCTGATGTGGGGACTCGATCCAGGGACTCCAGGATCATGACCTGAGCCGAAGGCAGTCGCTTAACCAACTGAGCCACCCAGGTGCCCCTATTTTTTAATCTTTTAAAATTTACAGATATACTAGCTTTGTAAAGCCACAGAAACAATGATCAACCCTGTAGCAATGAATACCCTAGCACCTAGAATATAGTCGAGAATGCCATTTCCCATTAATATGAAGGAGGCTTGAATCAGGAAATGGACAAGAACCTCGAACAGGGTAATAATGCTTGATTTTTGGTTTTGTTTACAATTTATGTTTACAATTTCAAGTAAATTTAATTCAATACAATTCAAGTACTCTGGATCCCTACCATAGAACAAGTCCTATTTGGGGTATTATTCAGCCAATGAGCTCAGAAACAGAGGGCAGAAATGCATAACGATAAAATAACACATATTAATATGAGTCTTCTGTTTTTCCTTTTCTAAACTCAAATTTAACTCCAATAAATTCCATCTACCCATTTATTTTTCCTGAACAAGCTATCAAGTTTATAAGAGGCCTTTTCACATAAAAGGTGAGGGTCTGATTTGAAATAGTATTAGAAATCTGACAACTGTTTAGAAACAAAGTAATAGCATTTCTCCTTCATGGGTGTTACGGAAATTTGATTTCCATTAAGTATGTGTTTAGAAGGCAGGTATGTGGGCAGTGCTTGCTTAAAAATTGCAGCTGGCACCTACTCTCTGTAAAAATGAAATCATCTCTATTAGCATTCACTAAATCAGATATTGAATTTCACCTTTTAAACTCTGCTCCTATTTGGTACACCCCTTGTCTCATTTTGGAAATAAAGTTTCATTGGAACCTATCCACATCCTTTGCTTATATCTTATATATGGCCGCTTTCACTCTACAACAAAGTTGAGTAGTTGCAACTGAGAATGTATGACCCATAAACCTAAAACATTAGCTAGATAGTCCTTTGCAGACAGTTTGTCGATTCCTGACTAAGAAGATCTACTGAAAACCAAGAAAGCTGGCAAAGACTACTCAGATCAAGTCAAAAGGACCCCTGAGTCAACCTGAAAAGGCTCCAAATGGTCAAATATGGCACAATACTAACTTAAGTATACATAAAAAACTGCAACAGACTGAAACACGTAAATGTATCAAAATCCACACCTTTATAATGATAGTAAAAAATAACAATCACTGTTCCCCAGGAGAGAATGCTAGCAAACCATTATTTCATTATGATTCATTATTTCCTCATTTTGAAAACTGTTAAGTTAGGAGAAAAAAAAATCTGTCTTGCCTACCTTAAGGAATCTGTACCTCAAGATAACCAATCCGTTCATACAGAGAATTTTCACTTTATATAATTATTCCCATTAAAGAAAAGAAATATATAATTAATTAGACTATTTAGCAATCTCTAATGAAATAATAATAGAAAGTATCACAAAAAGAGGCAAGCAGACATTATGTGCCTCTTCATGGAAGTATACACTAGGATCAGTATAGTCATTTTGCCCAAAAAAAGGGGGAGTGGAAATGGAGGGAACACACTAAACCCGATGAAGCCTCTAGATCTAACCTTGAACTAGAGAAATATAGAAAAACATGTTAATGATGACAGACTGTGGGAAACTTTACTGGACAAATCACCCAGCTTCTTCAAGAAAAACATTGAAAGGAAAGAGAGAAAGAAAGAAAAAGAATGAGGGGCGCCTGGGTGGCTCAATCGGTTGGGCGTCTGATGCTTGGTTTCAGCTCAGGTCATGATCTGGTGGTCGTGAGATAGAGCCTGGAGTTGGTGTCAGGCTCCATGCTCAGCGGGGAGTCCACTTCAGATTTGGTCGGCCTCTTCCTGTGCCCCTCCCCCCACTCACATGCTCACTCTCTCTTAATCAAACAAGAATAAGAAACTATAGATTTTTAAAAAGACTTATGAACCAATCACAATGCATGGATCTTATTTGGGCCCAGATTCAAAGAAATCTTAAAACTGAAAACGAAGTTATTTGCCCTGTGGGGAAATCTAAACTCTAACTTGGAAATCTGATATTAAGGAAATATTATTTATTTTTTTAGGGAGATTAATGGTATTTGATTAAGTTCTTAAAAGACCATCATTTATATACACATTTATGGATGGAACGATACAGCTTCTGGTATGTACCTCAAAATAATCCTTGGTAAGTGGAGGTACAGATTAAACAAGATCAGCCATGAGTCAGTCATTACTGAAACTGAGCAAAGTGGTGCACAGACGTTCACTGCTGCTTTGTCTATTTTTGTACATGATTGAATTTTTTACAATGAAGAGTTAAGGAAAATGCTGATCAGGGCTTAGTAAACTGATTTTACCACACACAAAAATCAGGTAACAACCCCACAGCTTCAAAAACCCTGTAACAGCATATTAATAATTTCCTTAAACTTTCCAACAACCAGCAAAATACCTTGAATAAAACATTAAATCAGAAAATATTGTTAGAAAAGTGATAATACAAGGGACAACATAGCAAAAACTATTGAAAATTTAAAGTCCACATAAACACTGTCTGAGAAACTAGCATTCATTCTACCAACAAACTCACTGATAGGCTAAATGACATATATTCAAGGATATTTATCCCACCATTGTTTATAACAGCAAGACTAATAGCCATCTGAAAGTTCATTAATAAGGGTTAGTTCTTAAAATTACGGAATTATGTAATATCGGGCAGCCATAAAGTGAAGAAGTCAATCATGTACTAAAGGATATATAGAATTCCCCTGGAAGTACTCAAGAACCTAGGCACACTGGTTGCTTTCTAAGGAGGAAAAGCTCATGATTAAGGGCAGGGCTGGGAAGGAGAATTCACTGTATACTCTTCTGAACCTTTTAAATACTTAGAAGATGATCTCTTAAACAATGAAATTGAAAAGAAAATACTCAAAGTCAAGGCTTTCAAATTTCACTCTGTGAGATGTATTCCATTCCTTCAAATATCTTAGAAAAAGACTAAGTATAAAAATGGAATTGAAATGTTTGCCCGGTGAATATGTGTACCTCAGGTCATAAGGAACAAAATGGGAGTGGAATAATCTCATTGGGTCCATTCCTTCTGGCCCCATTATTCTTTGGAATAGCCAGGCCCAAAGAGCAGAACACTAAAAGGATCCTTGTTACGATCCTTGTTACGGAGTTTCAAAAGAAAGAAAGCAATGTTCCCATATTGTGAAAAACCGGAAAACACTTCAGAAACAGAAGAAAGAGTAACAGCTTACCTTGGATAAAACTCTCAGTTGTCCAACAGCGGCTCTTCCCTTAGTCTCTGGTCACCTGTGTAAGACAAGTCCATTGACTGGTAAGAGATAAAGAATCGTGAGACACCGAGCCTTTCTTTGAGCCCAGACTGACTTGTTAGAAACAAGCAACTACTTCCACCCCACTCCCACCCCTCTTGAACTAAATAAACATTCAGAGGAAGGTCCGAGAGAGACTTGAGCAATGCTGCCCTCTCTGAGAACCAAAGTGGAGGTGGAGAATCCCCACAAGTCTCCCCAGGTAATTTCCTGAGGGAAGAGACTGGAATCTTACAACCCCAGATTTTTTCCTCCCCTTTTCTCAGGCTCTCCCCCGAACTTGGGGCTGTTTCTGGCTCTTAAACCTCAATATGAAATCAGGTTTGTGACTTGGAGATAAATTTCTTTATCTGGAATCTTTTAATCTGGGATTCACCTTTCTAACTTCCCACATCAGACAGGGACATTTCCAGGGAACCTGGGCCCCCATGGCTACAAGGAGAGGGGGCAGCTGTAACAGCACTCCAGCCAGTCTTAAGGCTTACTTGCTTCAAGTTAACACACTCCTTGCTTGCTGACTTAAGTCCCTTGATCTGCGACAGAACTAGTTTGCTTTCTTTGACACAGGCAGACCAGTGGCCTTCAGGAATAAAGGACCAGAACCTTCCTAGGCCACAGAGGCCAGCAAGTCTGTTTGAAGTTCCTTTAGTTTTCTGATTAGCCCAGCAATCTTTTAGCAAAATGTTTTTCTTTTTTAAGGTCACACAAATGATTTTACTGGCCTCCCTCTGCGCATCTGTAGATTTTGCCCTCCTTTTCAGAAAAAAACAGAGTACTCTTGCACAACCCCTGGGTACGAAGGAACAAGACCTTCTTGCACAACCCACCGAAACGCAGAGCACCAAGGAACTACAATTTCTTGTACAACCTCCGAGGACCAAGATTAACTCTATAGCTGGCATCAAGTCTGCATGTCATCAAGAAATGTCACAGACCACTGCACTCCCTTAACCGATTAAACCCCTTTAAAAATCTCTGGGCCAAAAATAAACAACAAAACGAAACAAAACAAAAAAATAAGTGAAAATAAAAATAAAAATCTCTGGGCCAGGAAGAAACCTGAGTCGGCCTTTGTACAAGAGTCGGCCTCCTTCCCCAGTGGCCGGCCTTCCTTAAAAGGAATTTGATTCCTTTCCAGTCAAAACTCTTTTGAGTATTGGCCTTTCCAGCCACCGATAGCCCAATCTGGGTTTCCGCAACGCAGCCAGCCACAAAGACCCCACAACCACAAGCTTCCAGAAACCCTCAAACCCACAACTGGCCTCAGGGTGACCATTTCGCTATCATTGCTCCCTCCTCCACCCCCCCCCCCATTCGGCTCCCAGCTAGACACAGTTGGGAGGGGCCAAACTCATAAAAAGTCAATGACACAACTAAAGGAGGAGTCAATCTCACAGCTTTACACAAGCACTCACACAGCTGGAGACACAATTACCACTCCTTCATGTGCTCACACATAATCATGCAGTCCCACAGGCACATTACGTCACACACACACAGTGACGTGTTAATGGCTGAGGCTCCGCACACAGCCGGTCTCGGTCCCCGGGCTAAGACACGCCTCACCTTCAGCCTCCCCAGCGTCCGGCTCACGCTCCGCAGACCGGAACGAACCCTCGGGCCGCGCTTCCCGCGCCGGGGCGCTGTGCAGCTCGCTCCAGCACAACGGCGCTGACCACCTTAGAAGGAAGTGACGTCACTCCCGGAGGCCTCTGGAAAGTGTAGTCCAGAAAACGAAAGACCCCCGCAAAAAGCGTTCGACCCGAGTATTCCTCCCCGGGCGCCAGCCCGCGACCCCGACTCCTCCACTCTCTACGGCGAATCACTGCGACCGCGCAGTCCCGGCTGCGCACCCGGCCGCCCAACTCGCATTCAGCCGGAAGTTTATTTCCGCCCCGGGGACTTCTGGGACCTGTAGTGTGGCGTAGGAGCCCTGGAGGGCGGAGCGGGGCGGTCGGGAGCCCTCAGCCCCAGCTTGCAGCAGGCTGCGGGAGGTGCAGCCGCAGAATCCCGAAAACCTGCGGGGGTTGGGGGCGATTGGAGTCTGACGAGAAGAGGAATGCCTGGGCCCTAACTGCAGCCAGGCTTGTGGGGAAGGAGAGAGAGGGAGAGTGACGCTTTAGTGCTGGTCTGAGTGCGTTTGCTTCGGTTTATCACCTTGGGTGTGGTTGTGTTGCTATGCCTGAGACTGTTTCACGATTTCTTTTTAAATAATAAAAAGTAAGTTGGGTGTTTAAAGTACAGTTTTTGGATGTAACACACAAAAAAGTGCCCAAATCATTAGAGTAAAGCTGGATACATTTTCATAGATTGCTCAGACTTGTGTACTCGTGTAGCATCCCAGAAGTCCCCTACCTGCCTCCTGTAAAGCCTCCATCTGATTTACAACATAGATTAGTTTTGCCTGGTTTTGAACTTTATATAAATGTCATCATATCGTGTATACACTTTTCCCCCCTTTAGTCTGACTTCTTTTGCCAAATATTTTGTTTGTGAGATTAATCTATAGTTTGTTTATTCTCATTGTTGACGGTACTTGGCTTGTTTTCAGCTTGGGGCTACTGGGAATAGTGCTCCATGAACATTCTTGTTTGTATTCTTTTGCTTTGTATACGTGTCGTCTTGGTTACATATATATTTAGGAGGGGCGTTGCTGGGTCATAGGATACACATATATTTAGCTTTAGTAGATATTGCCAAACTGTATTCTGAAGTGGTTTCCCAATTGCAGTTCCACCAGCTTTGTATGATAGTTTCTGCATCCTAACACACTTAATATCGTATGCCTTTTCTTTTTTAAACTTTCTGGTGGCTGTATGGTTGTTTCGATTTGAATTCCCCTGATGTATACATTTGTATATCTTCTGTAACAGGCAAAGATACCCAACCAGCTTTAGCATTTATTGTGGACAAATAAGGACCAAGTGGATATACGTCCTGTGTTGTACATATTGGTGTTGATACAACGCCTTCAATAGTGCCTCTCCAAACCTTACCATACGATTTAAGAACAAATAGGGGTGCCTGGGTGGCTCATTTGGTTAAGCCTCCAACTCTTGATTTCAGCTCAGGTCATGATCTCAGGGTTAAGAGATGGGAGTTCTGCTTTGGCTCTGCGCTGAGTGTGGAGCCTGCTTAAGAGTCTTTCTCTCCCTCTCCCTTTGCCCCTCCACTGTTTGCTTGTGTGCATGCTTGCGCACATGCACACGCACACACTCTCTCTCTCGAAAAAGAAAAAGAAAAAGAAACAAAAACAAAAAGGAAAGGAGTAAAGGCAAAGGTCTGTCCTTCCTGAGGAGGGACCCAAACCACATGCACTAGTCAAAGTATGTTGGGGACTTGACAGTGACCAAGTTTGCCAAACATGTTAAGCTCTTATGGACGTGGAACCTAAGTTACTATGATGCCAGGAAATGCCCTTGGTCATTGTCAGAAAAATTACTTGAACTGGATTTAGAAATAATTTTCCAATTGACAGTATAAATTTATAGGTGGGTTCTTTGGGGCCAGTATCAACTCAGGTTGTTGTGACTGATATTGCTGAATGTATTGTGGAAATAGATGTGTTAATTATAGATAATAATTCCCTTGATCATAAGGGATGTTCCCAATGGGGAAATGCCACAATTAGAATAATGGTTGTGGCACAAGTACACAACCCAGAGCCTATGAGACCTCTCCAGGGTAGTCACATAGTTACTGCGAAGCAGTACAGGAGACCGGGGAAGGGGATCAGGGGAGTAGAGGGGGTCAGAGGTCACTATAATGATCAAATAGCTAATGGCGGCAGAGGTGTTTAAAGAAACTGTATCACATAATAGCCCTCAGTGACCAGGGGAAAGCCAATATTATTTGGCACGTCACCATGGACTACCACAAGCTCAATGTGGCAGTAATACACTGGGCACATGCAGTTCCAGATTTAACAATCACAGAATCCATAATGCAGACCGAAGTTGTCTTGTTTTGCAGTTGTAGACATTGCTAATGCTTTCTCAGCATCCCATTGCCTCCTGAAGATTAGAGCCAATTTGCCTTCACAGGTTCTAATTACCTTTATTTTATCATGTTGCCATAGGCTATCCTAAACTCTCTATAATTTATCACTAGTGGATAGGCTTAGCCCTTAAAAAAAGCTGAAATATCACCAGATATGTCTTGGTAGCATTACATCGATGGCATTATTCTGACCGAAAGGGCTAAAGACAGCATGTAGACTGCCTTTCATGAGATGAGTCAATATATGAACCAGAGCTGGAAGATTAACATCCCAACAAGATACTGGGGCTAACCACGCAAGTAAGCCACTTGGGAACTATGTGGGCTGATGCTCAGAGAAAAAGCCCTGACCTTGTTAAAGAAAAACTGTTGATCTTAATACCTCTAGCAAACAAAAATGAGGCACAACATCTGCTGGCTTGTTCCGGGGTTGGAAGCACTCCATACCTCACACAAGGATGAGAATCTTGCTGAACTCATCATATCGGATCACTCAAAAGAGGCCCTGTCACACTGTAGATGCAGCCACGTCAGATGTAGTGTCTGGCCCAGCACTTTGGACTTCTTGGGACCTTTGGAACACTAACATTCCTGAGTATTCCTGGGCCTGGTTCATGCACATATCAGCTAAGGTAAAGGGAGGTGGGATGTAGGAAACCACTGCCACTGTGCAGCCTCAAAGAAAACTGCTTAAAACTGTGTGTGGCAAAGAGAATTCTGCTTAATGGGAGGAGCTGTAGGCTGTTGTGCTTCCCCTGGAAAATATTCCCCCAAATGCACCTTGTGACATTTTCACTGATTCATGGGCAGTAGCCAATGGACTGGCAATGTGGTGTGATGCCTGGCAGTGGGACAACTGAATGATCAAATTTGAGCCTCTTTGGGGATGAAGCGTTATGATAGCAGATTGCACAAGACCCACATCCTGTTTGTGACCATGTGGATGCCCATGGTAAAGGACCTTACAAAGATGAACATCAACGGAATCCACAAGATGATCAGATAAGGACCCAGGTAAGGACCATAGCCACCTGGACACACCATCACACAGGGCATAAGAATTTATCATTCGTGACTAAGCCTAAAAATAAGACACAGTGATTCCAGCACATGAGGTCAAGAAAGCCCAGCAAATATGCCCAGGCTGTCAGCTATGCAGTTGAGTAGCGGTGAGAACTCTGGGACACATAACCAAGGATACCAAACCTGGCCGGTGCTGGAAAATAGACCATATGGGCTCTCTACCCTCCACTTAAGGGTACTGCTGAGTGTTGATGACAATAGACACCTTTTCAGAGTCCAATACTTCCAACCCTGTCCACAGAGCAGATGGGCAGCCATACTATTCAGGGGTTTTAGATGGACAGTGTTATGTTGTTATCTATTTGTATTCCCTAAACATATCCAGTCAGACAATAGTGCCACTTTACAACAACAACAACAAAAATGCAGCAGTAGGCAGCGACCTGGGATATTCATTGGAACTTTCATGGCCGTGTCATACCTAGGCAGCAAGTGCCATTGAAAGATGAAATGGACTCTTAGGGGCGCCTGGGTGGCTCAGTTGGTTAAGCGACTGCCTTCAGCTCAGGTCATGATCCTGGAGTCCCGGGATCGAGTCCCACATCGGGCTCCCTGCTCAGCAGCGAGTCTGCTTCTCCTTCGGACCCTCCCCCCTCTCATGCTCTCTCTCTCTATCTCATTCTCTCTCTCAAATAAATAAATAAAATCTTTAAAAAAAAAAAAGAAAGATGAAATGGACTCTTAAAAGAGAAATTGGAAAAGATAATCGGACAACCAAGCCCCACTCCCTGTGGAGCACACACCTTAGACAGGCAATTTGGGCTCTAAATGTGGCAATTCCCCCAAAATGGTAATTTTCATTTAAATAGAATGTGTCTGAACTCTACACCTGAAACTAATGATGTACTATATGTTGGCTAATAGAATTTTAAATAAATAAATAAATAAAATGTTTGATTATAAGGAAGAGGAAGGAAGACGATGAATTGGCTCTAAGAAACTCAATCCACATAATCAACTTCTCGTTCTACATTTTTTCCTCCCACACTTACCCCTGGAGAACAGGGGTTGGGAAACTCTAACCCAGTACTTCTTTTGTCTCCTGGCTGTCCTTGTTGGATTTGGCAATTGTGGATATTGATGACAATGATCATGAATATGAGGTGATGACTGCTAAGGTAATGTTGGCTGGCATACACATCAGGGTGAGGAAGTGGTTCTAGGATGGTCCAAGGTATAGAAAGAAACTGCAGGGGCACTCAGGGACCAGTTGTGTGGTGTAAGACATGGGGAAGGTTGGAAAAAGAATGAAGTGATTGCTCCAGACACTGGTGGGGGACCAATCATATAGTTGTAGAAAAAAAAGGAACAACTCTTATTGGGGAGAGAGCACTTTAGACCCTTTGAGGTCTGGGTAGAGGTAAGGACCAGTGATCCTTCTCAGCTCTTATCCCTGCATTTGGCCAATTTATCTCAAACTGCCACCATCACCTCAAATTAACTGTTGACCAGTAAGTGATAAATGCAACAACTACTAACTTCAGAAAGTAAGAGCCTCCGCTTGAGATGACAGAACAAGGCTATCATTCTGGACACTGATATGATTTTCTTTAACCTATTCTCAGACTCTTTTCTTGTTTTTCAGACTATTAATGGTTCCAAACACTCTAAGATGAGTGGTAATGACGACTGTATTACCCTGGACTTCCTGCTGGTCAGTACAGGCGATACATGGGCAATTTCTAACATCTCTTGCTACAGTTGATCAATGAATAAGGAAAAACAGAGCAACCCATTTTCACCTTAGAAAGTAATGTGGCTCTCTAAGGTTGATCCTGATAGCAGCTGGGGCATATTTAGCTGACTTGGCCCCAAATTGGAAGTTGAAGCCGTGGTCACTATGTTGCTTAA